AAGATTTCGCTTTATTAAGGAGCTGATGGGCCTTTTTGCGCAATATTTTCAGTTCCACCATGGAACGTTTCTTTTTAACAAGTTTACAGTTATTTTCAAGTTTGCTAACTTCAAGGTTAATGTTTTTGCTCTATACAGTGACTAGTTGGTCTTTCTAACATTTCTTATTTCGAAAGTGTCTTCAACTTCCCCTTCCAAATCAAAGCTTACATAGCGATGAAATTGGTCTTCATCCAACCAATTTGAAATATTGTTAGATATAAATGCGATCGTTAGCGTGAGATCTAATATCTTACCCTTACCGTATTTACAAAAGTAGGTTCATTTATTTATTTACCACCATTAAATTATTAGTAGTGTTATAATTAAAAAGCCATTAACCTCGTATATTAGTGTCCGTGCTTCGCCATACCCTTTGCTGTGTGTTAGTATCGCAGCACATCACCCACTACATATTTCAGATATGGCAGTATTTGCTGGAGCTCGAGAGACACCGATCCTCTGCTTCGCCAGGAAGGTGCATAGATGCAAGGACAATTGTTATTATTTCCCTAGTACTAGGTACTTCTTCTGTACTACCACCAGTTCACGTTGTGTGAGCTCTGAAATTGGAAGAGATTTAATGGTTTTGTTAATCATTATCACCGCTCTAGGACGATCAACATTATTGTCATAAATTAATTACATGTTTTTACTGCAGACCGTTTCTGCACCTGTTTGTGGCCTGTGGATTTTAAGCCTATAGGAGGCTGCTATAGCCCAGTGGAGGTTGATTTGATGCTGCCTTCAAGAGTCTTACGATCGTGACAGAGTCCGGGACATTACTTCCCAGACTGGTCCTTCCGCACCTTGCCGCCCTTTGTGCCACACAGCAATTCAGGAGCATCCGTGTCTTTTTTTCCCACATCCTGAGACGACCAGTGAGAGCAGAAGGTTTTCGGCTTTTGCCCTTATCTATTATTAATTTTAGTTTCCCGGAATTAAAACCCATTTTCGGTTTCTGTCTGCTTGCCTTAGCACGAGCCATCGCAGATGTTGATGGTCATCAATCACAACCTTTACCCTGTTTCCCTTTTGTCTTCGTCTCAGCAAGGCACTACTAAGTCATTACTGCCCGGCTAGTCGACCTTTTCAGACGAAATGGGGTCCAAAACAATCACCATCTCACCATTCGTCATTTATACAGTTTATGATAAGCCATCCGCGCTTTAAACTGTAACCAGTAAAGTGAGGCTTCATGCCAGAAACTCAACAAGTTTCGTACATCTCATCGAGGATGTATTTTTGTACTTCACCAATTTTCTCATTGGATTTTTGCCCTGTAATGCTTTGTCGGTTAGGAGCTAGATGTTGGGGTGGAGCTGTCCGATCGAGATCTTTTTGGTGTCACCTGCCTTTCGCTAGTCACGTTGGACGGTTTTGCAGTCAAGGACCGAGCTCTTTCCAGTGGAATGCCCTTGGCAAGTAAAGTCTTCATCCTTTTGGCCTAGTGCCGGATAATTTCATCCTTGTGTGGGTCTTTTTAGTTGGGCCAGGCTCAAGAAGATCTCTTTCCTATTCCGAGGAAATAGACAATCCAGCCGAATCCTAGCTAAGTGGAATATTCATCTCCTTCGGATTGTCGGGTAGAGGACCAGGTGCTTTCTACAATAAATCATGGTCCATGGACTCACCGGCAAGGGTACAAGATTAAGTATCTAGAAGTAAGTCTTGATACGAAGCTTAACTAGAGGGTCAATATTGATGATAGATTTCACATCAAAACGGGTATATTTCACGGACTTAGGTATTAATAAATTTTATCACCCCTCCGTTTCGACTTCACTATATCAAGCAAAAATCTTCGCCATTCTAAAACCATGTTACTATTATTATTATTAGAACATATTTGTATTTTAACAAAATTACAAATTTAGTCTACTTACCTTCTGCTCAAAAAGTATTCGAATTTTGTAAATAAAACACACAAATTTAAATTTCACTCCAAATTTATTTTATCTCCTTCAAAATATGCTCCTTCTGAAGCGATACACATATCCCAACCCAATCTGCCATGCACTTTTCGTAGGCCCGTGCAGCGAATTCTCTTTTACCAATTCAATCGATTCAAAACGCTTACCACGAAAGGGCAATTTGAGTTTCGGTGCCTGAGCGATGACAGTGGTTCCGTGTTTGGTCAAAAAACCGAGCGCTTTTTGAGCAGAAGGTATTTTTAATTTTGTTTTCCATGTAATGATAGTAGACTTCCAGATCGACTTGAGTCTGCCGAACGCGTGCCTTACGTATCCTACAATCGACGTATGCCGAGGTATTCAAACCTGGCTTCATCTGCAATATCGGTGCTGCTACTGCGTAGCACTGTGCTACTATTAAAATTTATTCTCATTGATTTCGTGTTTTCGCAGTTTATTATAAAGCCAGCTTTCTTGGTCTCGTTTTCTAACAAAGTAAGTTGATGTTACATATCGCTATGATGGTTTGACAGGAAAACAATATCGTCAGTATATTTAAGATCAGCTAGTCTGCCTTTTAGCCTCCAGTTTAAACCAGGCATGCGTGCTTCTATATCTTCAAATACTAAGTCTAAGACTAAATCCAAGACAAAAGCGGAAACAAGGCGCAGCCATGTTTTACTTTTGTGCGGCACACGAAAGCTTCGATGAGCTCACCACCATGTAAGACTTTGCAAGGGTACCTTCATAGATAGCTTTGATAATATTTATTATTTTATCGGGAACACCCATAATTTATCGAAAAGAAATAGCGAGTGGTCAAAATACAAAAGCACTCTATGTCTATACAATACAATAAGAAGCGAAATGTGGCATTTTTAAAAATTTGTATGGAATTATTTACAATATTATAGAGATATAACGACTCTACAAAATGATGGAAAAAAGAAGTGGTATATCCCATATAAATCTCAATAAAGATGATGACAGCTTTTTATCTTCATAACAGTGAGTGAAGATAAAAAAGTCAGTTTATTTCTATAAACTTACTTTCAGTTCCTTAACAATAGCATGGTACAGAATATACTGACGTCAAGAATAAAGTGGGCGGTTAACTCCTAAAAATCACTGAAATCATTCGATGTCGATAACACTTTTCCGAAGCTAACTTTATATACGGATTATTCACTCAATGAAGACGGATCTGGAGTAGGTGTTTATGAGCCGAAGTTAAATGCTCGGCATCACTAGGTAAAAACACAACTATCTTTTATGCAGAAAATTAAGCGATAGACAGATGTGTGTGCTTTAACCTTGATCATAACTATCAGAACCATTTTTTATTCATCTTAACTGATACTATCATCTGATATTAACCCTGGTGATGTCTTGAAAATTTGGATATTCTTGGTCAAAATAATCAGAAATGGATCCTATCGGTCGCAGGTCATGCAGAAATTTCTGAAATAAAAAATAGTATTTGAGGTATAGCTAATCAAAGCAGACAATGAAAATAATGAATCATACTTTTTGAGCAAGTGAAAATAAAGTGAGTAAATGTAAAAATTTTTAATTTTATGTATAATAATTTTTATTTCAATTCTAATAATATTTCTTACAATTTTTTTTTTTAAATTAATATTTCTATACAAATTAGGTTTGAGATTTTTTGGTTTAGTACAATATTTCCAATTTTTATTTTCGGAATACTATATGCTATAGAAAACCAATGAAAACTCTTGCATTTAAAAAAGATTCATACTGATTCCTCAATATATTTTTTTATTGATAAATTTTAATTTGATTGCAATTCTATTATTGGAAAAACTCTTTGGATAAGAATTTCATTCACCAACATTGTTAATGTTTGCAGTTATTTTCAGAACCTCAGTAATGATTGAAAATATTGTCTTATTATTAATATTTGATGAGCTCAAATATAAGGTTTCCGTGACACTGCGTCCATTGATAAACTATTGTTTCCTGCCCTTTTTATAATTACCCTTTTTTCAATAATTACCAATATAAGTATTCAGAACAGTTTTAGTCTTTTTCAGATCGATACTTAAACAGTATCCTCATTGTATCCTCAAGATCAGGTAATAATAAAAATTCAAGTAACTCAAGGTAATGAAAAATTTTTATTTGATTTTCTTACTATTCAAAAACATTTCTATTAAATAAATATTCTAATTTTGTAACTCCTAAAAGCCTTTTGTACAATTGTCAAGAATGCCAATGGATCGCTAGTTAAGAAAGACAAGTACTCATGTACTCGTAAGTCACCCTTAGGGGCACTAACCTCAGCGACTTTCCATAAATCATTATTTGGAAGGTCAGTGTTACTTTCTTAATAAATATTATTATAAGAGTTGAGTTAACAGCATTTAAATTATTTGATTAAACTTTTTACAATTTTAAAGTATAAAATTTTAGTTTTAATTTATGATTTGCGCTTTGCTCTCATTTCTTTGTTTTAATACTTTTGTCACTAAAATGAATACAACAAAAATAATTCGAATTTAATTATATTATTATTTATACTTTGTTTTAAAATTAATTATTATACTTTCTATTATTTCATTATAAGCAAATGCGAAAAAACAAATACATCATAAAATAGAATACGTCAATTGACGCGCGTACTATGAAGAGAATAGTGTAAGGTACTCTGTCACTGGGGCCTTCAAACGGATATTAATTTGTAGAAAAGTGCTTGATTATTTCTAGTAATAATGGCAGCATTCGTCGTTAATCTGTTAAAGCGATATGTCTATAAGCTAGTAAAGTGAAAAACGATTTTTTGTTTTTATATTCTTCATTTTTAGAATCAATAGTTAATATATTCAATAGTTCAATAGTAATTCCCTTTTATTAAAAAAAAAAATTAAAATTATTATTTATAAAATAAACAATATAGTTAAGTTTTTTATAGGAAGAGCTTCCGTCACTTTAATTGCGATATGTTATAATACGCCTTTCTACATATACATATGTACAATACACATAAATATACTCTTTTAAAGTATTATTAACTAACAAAAAAGAAAGTGTATTTATTAATATTTCATATATAAAAAATCTTATAAAATTTTCAAATCATATGAGGGGTGTTGATAAGTTAGTGTTGAATTTTCATTTATCTCTGTATTACGTCGCAGTTGCTGAGTCAGACGCCTCTTAGCATTATGTCTGGTCTCATTCAACATCATTAAAGATTTTCTGCTCATAGAAATCTGATTAGCTTTGATATCATCTAAAATTAAAATTTATTAATTTGTAAATAAATGTATTATATATGATTGTGTAAAAATATAATTTCAACAAATGTAATAGTCATAAATCTTCATTAAAATCATATTTTACCTTCCCCTAAAAACCGACGTTCAAAGTTCCTTGGCAAATCACTGTAATCCAGTTGATTTTTATCCCTATTTTCATGTAATTTAAATATGGTCTGTCGTTTAGGTGTATATTCACTCTCTTCTCCATCCTGTACATTATCATAATTTTTTTCTTCGTTGTATTCATCTAAGCGTTTTGGTCGTTGAAGCTGACGAGCTATATTTATTGCATTACCTTTTATTTCTTGAGCAGCATCTTCATCAGTTATCTAAAATGTTATACTATTAAAGTAAACATTAAAAGTACAAAGTAATCATACTGTGCTTGATCTGCCAAAGAAATCCAGGGATGTAGTTGCTAGTAACTGGGAAATAGTTGCAAATCGATGAAAGAACATAGCAATAAACTGTATTATTAAGATTAAACCAAAAAAGACTACGAAACACAGGCCTATTGGATCTAATTCCTTATGAGAGCGATATATGTAAATCTGTGAGTTATCGTCGTCATATGTAATGTAATCTGTCGGATCCAGTGGCCATTCTAAGTGTAAATAGTCTTTTTTTAACTGAAGAAGAAATACCACTAACACAAATATCGAATTAATCATAACGAAAGCAAAGGCAAACATATTACGCAAATTCTGTAAACTTTCTGCGATTTCCGCTTTCTTTTCTTTTGTGTGAAACATCGGTTTCAAATACTGCTTAATTAGATCCTTCCAAAATCGCTTTTCCTTCAATGATATTTCACCCAACTCAGAATTTACTAAAAGTTGATCATTTATCCAACCGGGTAAATAGTTTTTACTTTCAATATTCTCTTCTGCATTTTCGTTATTATCAGTCACCTATATTGGTAGTTATTATATGTAGTTTTAAAATATGCACCAAGTGAAAACTGTTACCTTTTTAACCGCCACCTCTCGTGTACCCCACGAAACGTCATTCATATTGAACACAGAATATATTAAAAGCAGCATATACATTGAAGGTATAGTTATATAATATATAAAACCACATATTAGGGCAGCACTTTCTTGAGGATGGACGAGGCCTTATTTTAATATAAATAATCTTTAAGGTATTATAAATTATACGGATGTAATATTTAGTTACCAGCAATAAATATTTGTAAAAACACTAAGAGAAAAAACAGAGAGGCAGGAGCAAAGGGTCCATCATCGATCATTTGAATAATAATTCCGATTAAAACGGCCATCATCACCAAGCAATACATTGAACTAATTACAAAAGCCAATAGTAACTGCGAAAAATAAAAATATATTTAAAATACAATATTTATAACTAAATTTACCTGAAACTGTTGTTTGAGATAAATACAAGATAATATAAAACATAGAAGAGGTATGAAATTCCAAAGAAACGCTGTCCATATATCAATGCTAAAAACAGTAACAACAGCACCAACCATCATAAGAAAAATAGTTCCTGGTCCTAAAATTGTGCCCACCATTAACATGGCTTGATATATAATGTAAGGCGTTGATATGGAGCTATTATTTTTAACTACCATATCCGCATCGGAAAGCAAATCAAATATGTTGGCAATTGTGGAAGGTACCCAGCGACGACGTTGATTATAGAACTCGTTAAATATTTCTGGTGAATGTGTGTATGCGTCAGATGCTGCAGAGTATTCAACACGTAATCCCTGCTTAAGAATTAAAGTACATAGCCATCGATCTTCGCCTTGATCATATTGTATGTAATGCATAGGTTCAGTGGAAATTGTAGTATATTTTTTCATGACACTATTTTCCATAAGCGCACTACCTCGAAATAAACTAAAGCAACCTGGGCTACACAAAACACAACCAATGACGTGTTCGGTAGCTTTTTGTAACCAATGGCCGATTGCATATTCAAATATCTGATACCAAACCATTGGACCTCTGCCAACAGGATGAATACGACCACATGCTGCACCAAGTTCTTCAATAGCCTTCATTCTGTCTAATAGTAACTGTACGGCTTTGGGCTGAAAATCTATATCTCCATCAAGTGCTAATAAAAATGTATTTTCTGCGATGATTGTTTTACGCCGTGGTGATAAATTTTCCAATTCCATGATTCGAAATCCTAGCAAATAATACATGTACATAACCTGAGACCAACGCTTCTTGTGTCGAATTTTATCTTTATTTTTTAAATGTGCGATCAGTTTAGAGCGGCCGGGTAAGGTCCACACCAAACGTCCTCCATAAGGTGTTTCAGTTTTTATTGGAGCCTTTATTTTCATAAATACCCCATAAATTTCAAATGCAGCTTTCTCTATACTTGTTACAAGTATTTTAACATAGTCATTTATCGGAGGATTTTTCAAATTTTCGCACAAGTCTTCATCCAAAATAAATGCGTCGTCAAAGAAAATATTTGCTAGACATAAAAAGAAAAGGAATATTTTTTAATTAGTTAAGCAATTTAAGATATATTAAGATATATATATAAATTACTTTCCAATTCATAGTATTCATCATCAGGTTTTCCACCATTAATATGAATTTTTGCCATTCGCCGTGCGCATTGATCTTCGTCTAAACGAACAATTGATTTCAAAAACTCCATCATCTCATCTAAAGTTTCGTGCCACATAGTAGCGCATATAATTAATTGCGGAATTTTATCACTTTCCAATACATCAGATGTAGGATCTGCATCTTTATGATTTGGTAAATTCTGTCACATGACATTTAATTGCCGTAATTATGCTCTTAAAACTTTAATTTTAAATTTATTAATAAAATATAGTACTTACTTTACTGCCTATGTATTCTTCGCTCCAGTCAATAATGCGTCGATTCATCGTAATACATTGAGCAATCAAGAATGGACAATACCACGGACAAACGAACAACTTTTCAGTTGGTGAGTTTTTATCGTTTTTTGGATACCAAATATGAGCTGTAACCCAAAGTTGGGATAACCACCATAACACCCACAACCAAAGATAATCGTTTGTCAAACTACTTAATATATTTTTCGAAGAAAGTGAATTAAAGCTCAAATAATCAGGTACATAGTTATGAAATACACAAACATTTGAATCTCGCCAAAATGTCAGTAATATAATAATGGCCACAGATATAGGATCAATCAAACTAAAGGGCAAAGAAAAGCTAAATTTCTGAATTTTAATTTTGCAAGCGAATTTCGCAAAAATATAGCATAAATATGAAGAAACAATTTGTAGAAATAAAACGTAAAACAAAGCACTTGAATTGGACTCAACATTAAAACCAGAAAATGATGATAATTCTATAGATACCTAAAATGATCAAAACATTTGTTTTAAAAAATTAACCTATTTTAATACAATAATTAGTACTTAACGTTTTCAATTCTGAAATGATGTGTCTTCCATGCATACGAGAAATTTGACAAATATTCTGGAAAACGATATCCATGTAAGGCGAATCCAACAATTGAGAACAGTACAATTTTTATTGGTGAAAGAAACAGGTATGTTTGATATCTTGACTTTGTTTTCCGCATGGTTTTTATAAAATGCGCTACAATGAAACAATAATAGTAAGATATTAGTTTCCATTACTGAAACACCATTCTTTTTTTATAAGTACAGGTATAAGCACTCTTGAGCAAATTATTTTAAAATCGACAGTTGGTGTATTCCTCATCTCCGAACGGTGGCAAAAATCAACAAGTTGCTTACTACAGTTGCTAAGTAACATACTGGCATCACTGTTCCACTCTGTCAATTGTTATGATCAGAAAGCTGATCTGACACATCTGCACATAATGTAAGCAACTAAGAAGTTAAAAAATTTAAAGCGCTTTTCAATCATAATTCCTTCATGTACTCCTGAAAGTTTTTGTATAATTTTAAAATATTTATTTTCCACAATTTCGATCATTTTTAATTAATGAAGATTCTCAATAGATCGCTTCTCGCTGTGGTAACATTTTTTTCTATAGTCGCTAAGATGTTTGGCCACGACTAGTCATGAATAGTTGTTCAGATAGAGAAAATAGTGTTGTTGTTTTGCGTACAAATTAGCGATTTTAATTAAGCGAATTGTTATGTATTTGCTATACGTCGGAGCTGCCAAATACAACTAATATAAATTTTAATTATATAGTTTATCGGACCTATTCTGTGCACTTGACAGATTTGTCAAATTTTTTAATAAAATTTTTGATATTTATATAGCAGAAAGCTTTTTGATATTCTGGACACATCTTGACAAATTTCAAAGCTCAAGTACCTAGTGCTTCTCACCACACTATGGTGTAAAGTGTTTTGTATAGAAAACTGTTCGTAATTGTTCGTAACTGTTCGTAGAAAATGCTTGTAAAGAGCACATATTTTAAGTTGCCAAAAGCATTTTTCATGCATTCAAATAACAATAAAAAATATGCTTGTAAAGAGCGTATATTTTAGTAAGAATATTTGTCATGCATGCAAAAAATAAAAAATGCTTAAAAAGAGCATATTTTTATAGTTGTCAACAGCATTTGTAGTATTGACAACTTACAAGGAAAAGAGCATTTTATTTATGTCACAGAATACCAAAACCTTTACAGCAGTCAATTTTGACAAGTTTATAAAGTGCACAGAATAGGTCTGTATATCTTAATATGTATATTGAAATGTATAGAACACCGTACATTCCTTCTTTTACATTTTCTGGAATGTTTAAATTATTATTTTTTATTCTTTTTAATTCAGATTTTGCAATAAACCCGTTAATTGAGCATGTTACATAAAATGTAATTTTAAGAAACGTGCGTAATTGAAACGGTTTAAGGAAGTACAGTAGTTCCTAAAGTATCATGTACTCGTAAAAATGTCTAACTTACCAATGCCGGAATTTAAGTAGGTATAGTTTTCCCACCAACGGCAAGATATTAATATTAATGGCACTATTAAAATTTGTATACTAATTAATTTAGACATAGCCGGCCAAACAACAAATGAGGTCGCCTGGAATACAAGAGCTAAAATGCCAGTGCAGAAACCAATGATTGAGCTCCAATTTAGTGTGACTTTGCTGAAAACAACTAAAAATTTTTTTTAAAATTATTATAAAATAATATGATTTATATATGTATATGACTACGGTAAAAACATAAAACATTCCTGTATAGGTTGCTTTCTATATACCTCGCGGAATTTTCGGATATAATTTCTTGGTTCCTTTTTGATAATTTTTTCTAGATACATCGACACAAAAAAAAAATAAAATGATCAAACAAAACTTCAGATAAAAATCACCTAATATTTCAAAAATAAGTCATTTAAATTGTTTAAGTGATACAATAATATACCCTTACACATTTTTGAGATACTAAGGATTTTTTAATTGAAGCCGATTATTATTAAAAATAATATAACTATTATAAATGAACTATTATAAATTAACTTTTATAAATTATAAGACGTACATAGATTACGGTCTGCATATATTCATAAAATAAAGTCTATTAATATTAGTGGAAATTTACTTACATAATAAAATAGGTATAAAGCAAACACAGTTGGAAAGCATTAAGCCTCTAATTGAGTCCAGATTAGGTAATACTAAGAAAGTAAATAAAGCGAGTCCAATCACATGAAGTATTTCGAATAAACACACCTTCAAAATTTTAATTATTATTTTCATTAAAAGTTGCAAATATATAAGGTATTTAAACAATAGAATATACCAAAAGTACTTCCAGTCGTGTTGGCGTCTTAACGTATTTAAATATAAAAATTCGCAAAGATCGAAAGAATGTAAAAATTTCCGGAACAGAGAAAGAAATAATTATTGCCCACACCCAAGCTATTTGTTCTTCTTTCGGCAATTGCAGAGTCAAAGAATTTACCATATCTTTTAAAATAAATGCAATTGTTTTGATTATAATAATGTATTTAGTAGATTAGATGTACATAGAATCTGTAGGTTTACCTTGAACAACGCAATACTTCAGACGTCGGTTTTGTATCTGCGCAACCATCAACATAAATGATAACTTGGATATAATTGTTGTTATAATTATGGTAAAAAAAACGAATACGTAAGTAAACGCCTTAAATATTTTTAAAAAAATATTGAGCTTTCCCCAATTTGTTGCTGATCCTGTAGATCGTTTAGATGGGGGATCTTGGAAAGAATCCCACAAAGGTGGTTTTTCATTTCTTTTCCTTCAAGTATAGAAAATAAAATATAAACTTATTTATGAGTCACGATGTTGGATATAATATAAAATTTACCGATTTTTACCAATACCACCATTTTCAATACTTTCACATTGATCTTTCGTACTTGATTCCATATGTATGGTAAGAGTTACAAATCTTATTCCAAATTATTCCAAATAAGAGCAATAGTGTTCACTTTTTAAATAATTGATTTGAATTAAACTGTTTCACCATTAAAAATGCTGATAAATGTATTTTACAGATAACGAACCACTATGTTTTAACAATGAGATAAAATTATCACTTTTATCAAATTGAACAGTGATGCACACAATTAATATAATGAAAGGTTATTGTAAAATGTAGGCTATGAATGCGAACCTGAACGTTGATTCATTTTTGAAAAGCAGAGATAAATACCAATTCTATGAAAATATTTACTGATATCGAGTGCAATTAAGGCAATAATTGATCAAGTTTTATTTGAACAATGAGTACTTATTACTGAAGTTCATTTTTATCAATTTTCTAAAAATCACATCTGTTTGAAAATATCGCAGCTAAGTATTAAGTATTGCAAAAATATAGAAAATGATTAGCTAATAGGGCCGTAACTTATATGAAATTTATTCAATCATTTCTAAATTATTCTACAAAGACACCAAACAATTTGAAGATTGTTTGTACTGTGATCTTTGAACCTTTCGCACTGAAATTTTTGTAATAATGTTCTATAATGAACCGATTCTTCTTTCTATCTTTTTTTTTAAATTTTTTAATATAAATTTTTAATATAAGCAGGTTTAAGAAGGTGATATCTAAAAACTCCTGATCGGACAGTTGAATGAAATTTGTGATAGTGGAAGCGCGTGTGAAGTTTCTTTGTTATTATATCAGATGACTTCTTCTATACTGTAGAATTTGATGTATTCTTCAACAGCATTATGTAATTATTTGGTGATGTTTGGGAATCACAAATCCTTCTTCAAGCAGCAAAATGGAATGATAATAATTTCATTTTAATATTAGTTTTTGCTATAGATGCATATATTATAAGAACATAATCGATATTCTCTAATATTGAGATTTCAGTTGCGCTCTTAGCACGTTCACAGTGCTTCATTTAGGCAGCTTTGCTCATTAAAGCTGCTAATAAGTATAATTTACCATACACAGAACTTTCATATAAATGAACTCGCCTGATTTAAGGCGAAAAATGTTTCAGTTTCAGCTTATGAACGTATTAATAAAAATTGATATTTGTTTTATATATTCACATTATAAATATTTTATATTATGTTGAAGCTATTTAAGCCAGTGCACTTAAGCACTTTTACTCTTTCTTAACTCGAGGTATTTTTAAAACCCCTCTTTATGCCTTGACTGAATTATTGTTTATCACTTCATCAGATAATATAAATAATATTATTATTAAATGATTATTAGAATATTGAAAACATATAAATATAATTGAATTGCTATTTGTTGTCAGCTATTTGTTGTCAAATATTTAATTATGTTTGTTCCAGTAGCTGACAGGGATTTTATATACCTATATACAGTGTTCTATATAGTGTATAATTAAATGACGTTATTATTTTTAATATCGTAGTTCCTTTTGATACGAAAATTTCTCACGAAGTTAAGATTTTTTGAACTCAGTCACTTCTTAACATAAGATGAACGATATGAGTTCCATCTTCATCAACATTTTCTCAAGGTGGATAAATGTTTTGTTGGTGATAAAGCTGTGGAAGCGTAGATTTCAAAATAAAGCAGTACATCAGTTGTGCCTCTTTTAAAATCGAACTGATGTCGACTCATCAAATTATTGCGAAAATAACGCTACTTAATTTGGTGCAAAATTTGCTTGATTTAAGGATTGGTGCGGTAAGAAGAAGGTTAGCAAAGTTTTTATGGTTAAAAATAATATTCTGTCAATGTCAGGAGAATGGGCTGAGTGTGATTATAAAGTACTTTCTAGTTTAATAATTGAAATATCGCTTTAAATTTGCTTTGCATGAATGCATAGTGTTTTCTTAAAGTATAGTATTTTATTTTTCATTATATAAATTTAGTATAAAAAAAGCATTATTTAATTGAATACACATTGAAATATCATTGGAATCATATATTGTTCCGCGGGAATGCTCTAAAATTGAAAAGAGTTAGAGTTAAAATTATAGTTGCCGTTGAGCTTTTTGTATCTGACGATATTTTTTTGGATAAGATAATTAATTAATTTATTTTGTCAGCTCTTGCACACCTTTTCTTTTAGGCTTTTTAAATTGTGTTGTTAATAAATTATTAAAGGTTTTATATTATATGTATTATGTTATTTATATATATATATATATATTAAATTAAACAGTGCGATTCCCAGCCCTTTTGTTTGATATGTCTTAGTTTTGAAAGTTCAACATGTAACATAAAATTTACACTCGTAAATTTTACTACACAATCACATTATAATACAAAACAAAATAAATATAATAAAAAACAACACACATCAAAAACAATAGAAAAACTTGTAAACAACGCACCGTTGCAATTACAAGAACAAATATACTGTTTGCTTCGCACATCGCAGGTATAAAAGGCGAAGCAAAAGCAGTAGACGGGGATTCAGCAAGACATCGAGCTGCGAACAGGTTGTTCCACAATACACATGCTGAAAGCACCACAAATCGAAATTTACATCTCGATTTCTTTTTTTTTTTATTAATTTTTTTTTAATTTAATAGAAATTCACATTTCTATTAAAATTCATTATCAAAAACGAAATTAACATTTCGTTAGTAATAGAAATATAAATTTCTATTACTCATTTACTAAAACGAAATCATATTTTCGTTAATAAATTATAATTTTTAATACATATTTCTATTAAAAATTATTAGAAAAAACGAAATTAACATTTCGTTAGTAATAGAAATATAAATTTCTATTACTCATTACCTATAACGAAACCCTATTTCGTTAATCAATTACTCGGTAAGGTGATAATAACCCATGAACATTATCACCCATACCAAATACATGTTTTAAAGAAGAAATTCACATTTCTTCATACCTTTTTTTCTTTAGGGGCGTCGAAAGTAATATTTCTACGCCAAATACATTGGTTTTAAAGAAGAAATTCACATTTCTTCAAACCTTTTCTTCAGGGGCGTCGAAAGTAATATTTCTACGCCAAATACATTGTTAAAAAGAAGAAATTCACATTTCTTCAAACCACATCACCGCACCAACGTCACCATCCACCGTGTATTCACACGTTCCACTGTTCCTAACAAACAAATTTATTGTAGGACTGAACCTGGAATCCGGCGAGCAAAACCCCGGCCAGAAAGGTTCGTTACAAACATTATATCAAAGGGTACTTATTTCGGAAGTTTCCTAGTAACGCTGTACAAAGATTTTAATAGATCCCTAATTAATATGACTAAGACTAGAGAAAAAGTATTCAATCGTGTAATTAATTCTTTATATTTTTCGCAATTAGCCTTGTTATCAATAAATTTGAGATGTGTAGGATATAATGCAAATGCTAAGCCTACTACTCGTAGTATTGTTTTCATAGGGATATTATACAAACAATTTAAAATTCTATATTTAAGTTTAGAAGTCGTGAAGGGAGAGCTCAGTATTCGATCTACTATTGTCAATATGTGGTCAGTTGAAACATACGTATCTCCAATAATTTTCTTTTTTTTATAATATGAAGAGGTGCCTTAAATCGACAGAAGTATTTATGTTTTGCTTACTGTGCAAAAGACAGTATAAGTATATGATTGGAGTAAGGAAAATTTCATCTCAAACCAGATAAATGACATTATCTTCTACGTTGCTCTGTTACTTTGTTGTGCTTAAGATAAGAGCTGAAAAGAGCACTTAAGTATTTGTCATATTGTCATATTCACTGTCGTTGACCTATATCAGTTTAAAGAATTTGAATTTGGATTATACTGAATTGGTTGAAGAAAGTTTTTGAAAGTACTGTTGTTTCAATTAATATTAGTGCGTTATTATTATTATTATATATTAAAACGTTTTTGTTATTTTTAGATTTTGTCAAATTTACTTTGACTTTACAATATTATTTGAAATAGTGAAATTGATGAAATTTTTAAGTTAAGTAATTAACTGACGTACTGGTAAGTTTTCTTTGTTTAACATATCATCGAATGTTTTGTATTAACTTATTATTAAGTAACTGGGTTTAGTGTTGTAACTGGTGATGTTGCTGGATGCTTTTCGGAGCAGTTTGTGTATAATGTGCTCTATTAGTTGATATGGAAGAAGAGAGTATTTGGCGCAGTTTTGTGTGGTTATATATTGCTTTGCAGTGTTTCCTAAGCATTAACATGCCTTGCATTATATAAGATTTGAAAAGTATTTTTTTTTTTTTTTTTATATATAAATTTATTTTATTTGATTAAATAAATTTTATAAGAGTAACTAGCTAACAATATAATAAGCTAACAAACAATTTTAATTAACAATTATAAAGAATTTAGTCAGAAATCACGCAAGTTCATTTATCACGCATTTCGGACAGGTTGCGACCAAAGATCACAAGGTTTTAGACGCTTAAGGCGACGTGTTGGCTCTATTGACGTCAGTTCGTTAGCTTCATCATTCGGATGAGAGTACAGTCGCTGCAGGTGAATTCTTGCATTTCGCTGTATTTCTTCCACCACCGTATTTATCCCTAGATCACGATGCAGATCAGAGTTCCTTACGTACCATGGTGCATTTGCCACACCCCTTAATATAAAGTTTTGGAATTTTTGTATGGTTTCAACATGTGTGCTGCTAGCGCATCCCCAGAGCTGAATACCATATGTCCAAATTGGTTTCAATATTTGTTTGTAAATTAAAAGCATGTTATGAAGTGACAGTTTCGACTTCTTTCCAATAAGCCATTTGATTGATCTGTATTTTATATTCAGTTCATCTCTCTTTTTTTTTACATGTTCATTCCATCTCAGCTTTGCATTTGAAAAGTATTGCAAAACTTTTACTTTATATCACGGCTATTTAAAGCACGGCCTACGGGCCACATGCGGGCAGCGGGTAATATGTTTGCACGCCCGCCACATGTTTGTAATTTACCACTATTACTCTAATTTTCCCTTGATATATTTTGGTAAAATTATATTACTTTATTTTTATGGTTTTCCATAAAAAATGAATTCAAATGAATGAACTAATATAATTAAATTTAACATTATCGTGTTTTCATTTTCTCCAAAAAAACAATGGATGTATTTACTTGTTTCTGCGGTCCTCCAATCTGCACAGTGAGTTATATTGGCTCACGGTCGAGCCAAGCTCTGCTTAATATTACGAGATACCGAAGTTTTCCAATATATGATATAAATCAAATGTTAGCATTATGTGTCTATTTGGTTGCAATAAGATTACCGCTGCGTTTTTGGTATTTGTATACTCCAATAAGTATTTGTTCTTTTAGTTCAATTAGAATTTTTTCTTCTAAAGCTTCGTTAAGGTAGGAAGTGAAGATAGTTTCTAAGGTGCTTCTAAGATTGCTTAGAATTGCTGTATTTCATTGATCAAACTCTATACAGCTTAGTTGCTGGAAAGTGTTGTGTTAAAATGCAAGCAGACTACAGAAAAAGAACGACTCACTATCCAATGAGCTACATTCTTCAGGCCATATTATTCATTTTGTACACCAACAAACGTGGGATAAAATTTGTGCCTGTAGAAGCTGTTGTTGTTTGTGATTAACTGGTTGATCAGATTTAAAATCAGACTTTTCTTATAAATATTTTTTGTGATGTATTTTAGTCAATGTATTGATATTTTCTAAAATTTCATCAACTATATAACTGGAAATTTATTTTGAACTTTTTGCCATTCGACTTTTTCCTCGTTAAATCAATTGATTTATTTATACTGAGCTTATTTAAATAAATAAAATTCTTTGTATGGTAGATTATTCTTATTAAAGGCCTTATTAATGAGCAAAACTGTGTTAATGAGGCACTGTGAACGTGCTGTAAAATACACTAATACACACTATATGAATGATCGTTTCAAAAATGCACTACTTTCGTGAAAAAACACTTACGAGAATATCAAAGATTTTACATTATATATTGAAAACGATATACCATTTCAGTGTTTTGCATAAGACGCTCTTATTTTAAGTGTATTGTTTCTGCTTGTGTTCATGAAAAATTTTTTGATATGTGTGGGATATTATGATAGTACTATGATAGTGTACTATATATTTTCATTAACTCTAAAAAATACATTTTTTAAATACCACACTAACATTACCGAGTCACTAATAGAAATTTTTAAAAGAAACTTTGTAAAATGCAGTATTGTAATGACATAATCCGCAGTGCAACGCCAAGGGTCGTTACAATAAAATTTGTAGGTAAAGAACGGATTTTATTTTAAAAATAAAAATAGTCGTTAATTATACTATATTTAAATTTATTTACTGTATATATTTTATATTAACATTATAATTTGAATCCAAAAACTACCCTACTGAATAAGTTCGATAAAATAAAAGGATTTAACTGTTGCCGGGATTATTAGAGACAGTGCTCGCCTTTGATAAAACTCTACTAAACTCTAGATCGCTTGGCCTTTCATACTTATAAATTTAACTTCAATAAGCTGGGTTTGTTCTATTAAGCTTCAATACGTTAGTTGGATTCCAGAAAAACAATATATCGTCAAAAAACTGATTGCAACGATAAAGCTTCAAGAAGATTGTTTGATTGTTAGGAAACTATACAGTAAAAACAAGCTGGTCACTATGACATAGCTTCAATAATCTGTATTAATTCTAAGACAACTAGAGAGCTTAAGCGAGGTAAGACTAGTTTAGGCGATCTCAGATATCAGACTGTAAAAGATTCTTTGTTGAAATCGCATTCCAGTGATCCGAGTGTGAAACATGAAGAACTTGGCATTTCAATATTCAAATTTATTTTATTTAGTCAGTTATGGACAATGATGGGTATTTAAAAAAGATTAAGACTCTTTAAGAGTATTTAGAGTACTGAATATAGAGTTACTATATCCGCGATTGAACAGTGGATCACATCTGTCCTGGTTCAGCATCAAACTTGTGCATTTTCATCTTCATGATTTGTTTGCCTTACAGGTATTTCGTTGTATCTCGTAATTCATTGTTCCATCTGCGAATATTGCACTCGGTTCATTTGCTTAAAATTCAGAAATTAAAAATTTTATGTATTTGACAATTTTCAAAAATATAGTATGTATGATACTAGTATGTAGATAAAGTGCTGTTGCTTATAAAATTGAAACTCTGCTTCGGCTTGGACTACCTTCATATTAGAAGGCAGTAGAGATTATGTATGCGTTGGATCTAAAGTTATTGGGGTTGGAACAAAATATTAGTGATCATATATGAAATAATAAGTTCGATTGCTTATATGTTTAAACTGATATTTATTTCCCTTTGGCACCTTTTTGGAATTTGTGATTCTTTCAACAGAGGCACAATACATGCCTTTATATTTCAATAATTAAAATTAAACTTTTAAAAATAAGAAAATCACAAAATGATTTAATTTTATGGGATATGATTTATGGTTGTGCTTTCTGCTTCATTTCCAAGATTTCAGTTCAAATAAAAAGTTTTGATATGATTTTGAAATTTACTTAAAAATTATTCGATTTGGATCACTGTGCCGTGGAATTTTTTGCTTGCTGTGTAGTTGAGTTTTTAATTAAACACTCAATAAACATTCTGTTGTCGTAGTAGTACAAATTATTTAACTTACACTAAAAATTTATATCGTTAACTTTTATTTTACATCGTGTATTTATAAGTAAGTTATATTTTGATCAAGCTTATTTTATTGTTAGTGTTCCTCCAAATTTTTAAAATTGTTATAAGAGTACCACAACAGAAAAATGTTGAGAATTACTGATTTAGTCTATGCTGATGATATTTGTTATGTACTTTGAATGGAACAAATTTCATGTTGGGACTACTTGCAAAGTACACCGATAATAGAAGTCTAAAAAGTAATGACAAGAAAAAATATAAAATGTATGTGGAAACCACATAACAGCGTCGGTCATTGTAGGAAAAGATGGCATTTCAGAAACTATCACCAATGTTGACAATTTTGTTATCTCGATAGCATAGTAATAATGAAAGGACAAACGGATAACGAACTTTCATGCCGTATCAGAAATAACATTCTTAATACAGCTATCAAAATAATTATGCTCGGTAGTTTAGATGTACTGGAAGTACATACGCCCTTCTGAAATATTTTATAACAAAGTATGACATCACTATGACCGTATCTAGAGAAAGAAATGATCAGGAATATTCGTAAAGAAAAAAGAAATGTCGCGAAGATGTTTCTTAAATGAAACCCGCGAGTATCTCGTTGAACTGTTATCAACAATTTTGATCTTGAAAAGAGATTATAGGTACGAGTCTTAAGAAATCAGTATGGATAAATTAAGCAGGAAAGTAATAACATAGCCTTGTTGTACATACAATTTGAATTAAAATCAAAATTCCAGTAAAAGAGAGTTTACTGCAACTCTTGGTTTACAATATAAGTAAAGAGGAGTATTAAAAAATTCGATTTTGAATTTTTAATGTCTTTAACTAGCTCCTGAAATATACGTAAAAAACTGGAAACGCTGTTAAAAGTGTCTACGCTTATTCAATTGAAAATAAGGTGTCCAGCAACACTACTTTTCCATATATAACAACAGATAGATATTTTTACAGATTGTATTTTTATGTAGGGTTTGAAATGCTTTATTTAGTCAGGCAGTAGCAAGCAAATAAATTGTTGACCTACTTGATATAAAAAAAAAAATATTAAAACGACTGATAATAAATATGTTTACAATTTGTAAGTTTATTTTTGATTGATAACGCGTCTAGCTCATATTATCAAAAACAATACATTTACAACCAATCATACTATACGAATAATTTACAACTGCACGAAGTTGAGCTTCATTATCGAGAGATAATGCCTGTGCTCAAATATTATTTGGTAGACGATTCAATTTAAAAGATATAGCTAGTTCGCTTAGAGGTGATTGACAGTTAAGACATAATAATCGGCGTCTTGAATTGTTTTTCAAGCTAAACATTGTATATATTTTCGTCGATTTAAAAATTTAATAAATAAGCAGTGAACTAAAGATAAATAAAATATGTTTTTAAAAAAAACTTTTGGGGTTGTGAATGTGCTTGAAAATCGTTGCTCTCTAAAATTTTGGAGAGCTGTGAGTGGGGAAGGACCAAGACAGCCTGTAAGAATATTATAAATGTACTTTTTTGTGTAAATTCTATGTATTAACGCAGACGAATGTGTAACTGTGCTAAGTGTTTAGCACTGCAGCTAAACAAACTCATTTAAAAAATTAAACGAAATGCTACAAATTATCGAATAATATAAGTTAATTAAAATAAGAAAATGTTATTTTGTTATATATAAGAAATGTTTGACGTGAAAATAGCGTATTCTGTATAAAATAACATCAACTGCTATTCCAATTTAAATGAAATGCATTTTGAAACGTTACTTCATAATTCAAATTTTATGATTCCCCAATACAAGTTTTACCGATTAGTGTCGTTTATTTTTTTCCATACCGATTAGAATTCCATTAGTAAAAAAATTTACCGCATTAAACCAGTTACTTGACAGAACGCTTAATTTTTTCCCTTTGGACTTTATGCAATGATCGCTGAAGTATTTATATTATAAACAAATAATTCAAACAATAATTCAATAGGTTACTTCCATTCACAATTAACTGTGTTGATTGGTAAAATAAGTTACAAAAAAAGTGCTAATATTAAAAGATTTTTGAGGCATTTGCTTAAATACTGATCGTTTTGAAGATCTTGTCAGATTTTCCTGGTATATGACTATAAAAATATCCAGTTACACAAATTGTCTTCAAGATTATTCCAGAATGGCCAAAATTCTTAACTCGTTGAAACGTTCTTCAAAGATCGGCATAAATTTTGAAGATTTGGATTTTAAAGAGGTCCCGAAGAGGTCATCTGTTTCTGCTAGATAGATTTATGATGGCAACCATAATAAATGCAAAATGTCATTGTGTAATTTTGAATATTAAATCTTTATTTGAATTTGTTAAATGTATACAAAATATTTATATATATATGATATAATATTACTTATAGTTTTACGGAGTTGTATCCCTAATAATTTTTAGCGGAGAGAAGTAACGGCTCCGTAACGATAAGTTTTATAGACACTTAAGTAACAATTAAAAACTGATTAAATAATATTGTAGCTTATCACCACAATAAAAATTTTATTAATTTCTGTGTTGTTCATTATTGCTTCGGATATGTTCATTATTTAAATTGATCACGTTTTAAATTAAATTAAATTACTTCATTATTAACTATATAAATTTGATATGTTAAGCTAATAAAAAACGTCTGTTTTAAAAATAACATAACTCACTGCTTTAATAGGTAATCGCAATTCACTTACAATTGATAATTTTACTTAGACGTTTTAAGATACATAAATATATAAGAAAGTGCCATTGAAAGTGCCATTGAAAGTGCCATTTAGTTTTCGTCGTACATAAGTGTAGGAGAAATCTTAAATCAGCTGACACAAACGATAAGCAATTGTATTATATTTTGGCGTACGAAATATTTGCTGATCGGATTAAACTAGTGTTGTTTGTGTTTTTATGTTGTTTTGCCTTGTGTGAACTCTGCTGCAACTAATCATTTTTTCTGCGTACCGTCATTTTTATTTTCTACGTCTATGACAACTAATTTTAAAATTTATTTATTTATAAAATTATAAAAGTTAATCAATAGAACAAATACAACTATTCACTAATGGCTTCCATATTGTCTGGAGACTAAATCCATTTTATATTTATTATAATTCATATTGTAGTCAATTCATTATATATTTCGTTAACCAGCAAAATCTGTTTGGAATAGTTATATAGTTTATATCTTTGATCTCTGCTAACAATAGTTGCACACCATTTGGCATAATTGGTTTTAGATAAGTTTTAAAAAATTTGTGAAAGTAATTATTTCATCATTTTGAAAGGTTATTTTACCGGAAAAACGTCAAGTGATCGATCGAAGTCAGCCCACTTTTACTGAAAGAAGTCAGTTGAAATATGCAAGAAGATTGGTTGTGAAACTAGGAAGTGCAGTTATAACTCGAGAAGATAATCATGGGCTTGCACTCGGACGTTTGGCTTCAATTGTGGAACAGGTTAGTTAATGTTTGTAATATAATTGTCACATACGAAAGCTATTGTAACAATCATTGTATAATGAAGTCTTTTTGTTAAAAGGTTGCTGAATGTCATTTAGAGGGTCGGGAGGTTATGATTGTGACAAGTGGTGCAGTTGCATTTGGAAAACAAAAATTAGCTCAAGAACTTCTCATGTCATTATCAATGCGTGAAACTCTCTCACCTAAAGATCCAAATAGATCGGTAAATACCTTTTTAAGCTATGCACACTTTTACAAAATTTTTTATTGACTGCAGGACGAAGGAATGTTTTTAGAGCCTCGAGCTGCTGCTGCAGTAGGTCAATCAGGACTTATGTCACTTTATGATGCAATGTTTGCACAATATGGCGTAAAAATAGCACAGGTATGAATGTCAATATTTAGTTCTGAAATTCACTGAATAAATTTTATCGCAGGTTCTCGTAACTAAACCTGACTTCTACAACGAAGAAACGCGTAATAATTTATTTTGTACACTGTCCGAATTAATTAGTTTAAATATAGTACCAATAATAAATACAAATGATGCCGTGTCACCTCCAATGTTTATTGTAGATGATGATCTTCCAGCAGGTTCCAAAAAGGTAAACAATTGTCACAATTATAGACGAAAGATAATTTTATATTTACTACACTTCGTGTGTCATAAAGGGTATAGCGATAAAGGATAATGACAGTTTATCTGCGATGCTTGCAGCCGAAGTACAAGCTGATTTACTCATTCTTATGTCGGATGTAGATGGTATTTATAATAAGCCCCCATGGCAAGATGGAGCTAAGCTGATGCATACGTATACATTAAATGATAGTCGTACTATTGAATTTGGTAAAAAATCGAAGGTAAATTTGTGTTATTTATTTTTAATATTATACTAAATAAATTATATATTTAATAATTTTTTAATTGACATAAAAATAAAACTTGTACTGAAAAAAGTAATTGTAGTAATTTGATACATCATGACATATTGAAAATTTTGCATGGTCTTTTGGTGCAATTGCATTGCAATATTGCGATTCAGATCCCGAATTCTTTTATAGGCTTTTCACAATTTTATAAGAATAGCATGTCAAATTTTAGAGTTTGGAATATTTTTGTTAATATAGTTTATATTATCGTTACAAATGTATTGCTTCAAATTGTTGAAGCAATGTGTTTCAATTTAACTTAAGAAATCTCCTCGCACAATTTAAAAATTGCGATTTTAATCAAGGATGAATGAACTCTAATTTAGGTTGGTACAGGCGGCATGGATTCCAAGGTTAAAGCAGCAACTTGGGCTTTAGATAGAGGTGTAAGCGTGGTAATATGCAACGGCATGCAGGAAAAGGCTATAAAAACCATTATTGGTGGAAGAAAAGTTGGAACTTTTTTTACGGAGTCAACAGAAGTTTCTGCTACGCCTGTAGATGTTCTTGCGGAAAATGGTGAGCACATTTATTTTATATAAAACCAATCTTAAAAAATTAAAGTAGCTTATAAAAAAAGTGTATAAAAATAAGTGTTTTATGTTTGCAACATATATACAAAATTTTGTTAAAAAACAGCTCGTATTGGTGGTCGTCAGATGCAGGCACTTACACCGGAGCAACGTGCAAGCGTCGTGAACACTTTAGCCGATTTGTTAACAGAAAAAGAAGACTTTATACTGAACGCTAACGCAAAGGATGTGATGGAAGCCCAACGCGTTGGATTGCCTAAGCCGATAATATCGCGATTAACTCTAACCTCCGCGAAATTACGAAACCTCTCGGTTGGACTTAAACAAATATCAGACGCTAGCCGTAAGGTATGAACTTTATTTAATTAAATATTTAATTTATTTATTTATTATAAGCAGTCAAAATAGGAGGTGTGATCAAGAACCGAATGGCAAAACGTATATTAGTGTGTTTCGCTATTAAACAAAAACATTCAAAGATTTAATGCTTTCACATCTTGTATATAAATCGGTTTTGCGATTTGAAAAACTGTCATGAAGTGAAATATGTCAGTGACTTTTTGAATTACCTGCGCAGTTACTTCAAATGCAACAGTGTTGCCGTCAGCTGTAATCTACCAGATTACAGTAACTGCGCGGAAAATTCAAAAAGTCACTGACTTATCAAACCACCCTCGTATTTGAAAGTATTAAAGTATTATTAAAGCAGCTATTCAATTTTATGTGATTTTTTCTTTAATTCTCTATTCTCGAAAAACAAACAATATTTGAACAATACTTACTCCATAAAAATTATGAATTTATAAAATTATATGTTCTCATGATCTTCTACTTATGAATAAGCAACTTAATAAAACATATCAAGGTTTAAAATATCTGACAAGAACTGGAATTATAAAAAAAATTAGAAAAATTTGAGCGATGAACTTAAAGTACAAGATTAGATTATTACACTTGCTACTCTCACTCTGCAATGACATGGGTTGGGAAAAAGCTAATGATTTTGCTTCAATTATAAATTGGATATATAATTGCAGTATTTTCGAGTAAATACGCTGCAACCTCATTCGACGTCAGGTCTTAAGGAAGTAAGTTTATTTGCATCCAAGTGGACTTTAGTATGTAAGGCCGCCACTTTAACTTAACAAACTTAACTTCATTTCTACTCAATTTATGCATGATTAAAGCATATTTAAATATCTGGCATTACACATTGAGATCGAGAGCAGGAGAGACATGTCCTCATTAAATTCATAACCGATAACCGATAAATTTTATATATAAATTTGGTTCTGGCATCAGGCAAATCAAAAGAAAATCAAAATTTGGTGTTGCGCTAATATTTGCTGAAAATTGTGGGTATTCTATTCAGTAATTGAAATATACTGTCGCATTTCTGGATCGGAAGTGAAAATGTCACTTTTTGTCCGATTCTTGATAATCACTCTGTAGATTTTTAAAAATTTTTTAAAATTTTTTAAAATTTTTTAAAATTTTTTCTTACTTAGCAACCAAAAATACTTTAGAAACCACTAAGTTTGGCCGTTAGCAAAAACCTTGTTGGTTAGCATTATCGAAGCTCTAAGATTACTCAAATAAAAGCATTTTAGTCTTATTTAGAACAATATTATCAGCTGAAAATGCACTGGGGAGGTATGGGTTGTAATGTATAATCAACAAATCTATTTCTAAGATTTATTTTAAGTAAGACAATTGCGCGCATTCAGAAATTCAAATTCACATTTTATTCACCCAAAAGAATTTATGTAAAGGTGCCCCTACCCTCCTCATACAATCGATGAATTTGTCGTAGTAATTAACTGTTAAAATTAAAAATGATCTTAGTTCGTTATAGTTTTATGGTGGTGTCATATTTTTTATTGTTGGTAATTTGTCCAAAAGTGGATAAATATCTTTGGGGTCTACAATTTAACATATTTATTTAATTTCATTTTGATAAAAATAATATTTATCCTAATTCAAGCTTAAATTGTATTCTGTAAGATGTTGTAAAACTAATTTTATTGATTTTGTGTTCTGATGTAATTTGTGATGACTTGATAACATCATCGAAATACGCTGTTGCCTTACTAATGTCATATAGTATTTTTATTATATGATTTTAAAGGCGTCTGGGGCGGATTAAATACCTGGGACCAATATATTAAATTACATAAATCCACTTTTATCAGTGCAATGACTCACAAATTGCTGATATTGTATCGTTGCACTTTTCGTTGACCAGCGGATAGCAAAAGCGTCGACCTAAAAACAAATAAAGTATATGAAGTCCTAGTCCTTAATAATTATTTTTATCATCACTTTAGATTTTAAATTATATTAAAGTTTAGTGTAAGAATTTAAAATAGTAAAAAGTCGCTAATATTTTACAAAATACTTAAAAATTTATCCGAACTGATGCCTTGGTTATTCATTAATGCGGTAACTTCGTAATGTTGCAATTTTACAAAAAAAATCACATAATATTTGATCACTTCATCCAATTACCGAGCACGTCTAAATATCTAAAATGTGGTCGAATAATTCTCAAATATTATGTTTCAATGGGTATTAGGAGGCTCTACCCCTGCGACTTTCGCTCGCCAACCCCTATAATAATCATACGAACTTTTTCATAATCAACAATATATATGTGCTTTAAACATTCTCTAGAAGAAACATTAAATATTTTTTAAGAACTTCAAAATTAGAGCAAAATTTGATGTCTCTTCTAGGGCATGTTAAAAGCACATGCGTATTGTTCAATACGAAAGAGTACGTGTGAATATAACGTTTGTTAGGGAGCTAAGCTCGTAGTTTTTAATATAATTGTATAAAAACTTTAATCTGCTTTTCATTCTCTTTCTCACTGTTTCAATATGCTTTTCTAAGGATCCTGTCATACAGACAGTTATGATCAGATCAAATGTGAAACTGTTGTCGTTTACAATGCAAATTCTAAAATTCAGAATGAGAGTAAGAGTGAAATTTTCGTTGTTCAAAACAGTGTTGCTCAGCAATAAATGTTAGAATTTGCTCCAATTAGGAATAAAAATATGGGTTTTTACATGACATATCTTCAAGCAATTTAGTGATTTAGTTTGTATAGGTTTCGAAGCAGCTTTTATTGATCAGTTTGTTACACGTCCATACTGTAATTAAATATAGTAACCATCTAAAAATTCCTCAAAAAATGTATCCTATCAGAAAAACATAAGATCCACACTACACAGTAACACCTTTGGACTAGTCAAATTCCATAGGAAATAATAAAAATGAATATATTTTTTAATATGGTATGTCTCTAGGTATTTAGCATGTTGCTCACTATTTCATTAATTACTTTAATATTTAATTTTATTGCAGAATGTTGGTCGTGTACTAAGGCGTACAAAACTGGCAGAAAACTTACATCTCACCCAAGTTACAGTTCCCATTGGTGTTTTATTAGTTATTTTCGAATCCCGTCCAGATTCATTACCTCAAGTTGCTGCGCTCGCCATTGCGTCAGCAAATGGTTTATTGCTTAAGGGAGGCAAGGAAGCCGCATTTAGTAACAAAGCTCTAATGGAGCTGGTTAAGCAATCCTTAGCTACAGTCGGTGCAGAAAATGCTGTGTCATTGGTAGTTTAACATATAAAAAACAATGAAAAGTTTGACCACTAATTAATTTTATGAAATCTAAGGTATCAACAAGAGAAGAAATAAGCGATTTATTATCTATGGAGGATCATATTGATTTAATTATTCCTCGTGGTTCATCAGAGTTGGTTCGAAGCATTCAACAACAATCAGTGCATATACCTGTATTAGGTCACGCTGAAGGAATATGTCATGTGTATATTGATAAAGATGCAGATTTAGAGAAAGCATTGAAAATTGTTAGGGATTCAAAGTGTGACTATCCTGCAGGTTAGTAAACAGAGAAAATATTTTTACATCTATTTTAATTATATTTTTTAGCTTGTAATGCTATGGAAACTCTTCTTATTCATGAAGATTTGATGAGTGGTAACGTATTTAACGAGGTCTGTAACATGCTTAAGAGAGAGGAAGTTCAAATATATGCTGGACCAAAGCTGAATGACAGATTAACATTTGGTCCACCACCTGCAAAGAGCCTTAAACATGAATATGGAGCGTTAGAGTGCTGTATAGAAATAGTAAAAAATCTTGGCGACGCCATTGACCACATTCACACATTTGGCAGTGGCCATACAGATGTTATTGTAACTGAAAATGGTAACATATCATCTATCACATCGTGACTTGATTTAATAAATTGATTTTGATTATTCATTTTTTAGAAGTGACAGCAAAACGATTTTTATCTGCAGTAGATAGTGCTTGCGTATTTCATAACGCCAGTTCGAGATTTGCTGACGGCTTTCGCTTTGGCCTGGGCGCAGAAGTAGGTATATCAACAGCTAGAATCCATGCTCGTGGACCAGTGGGCGTGGAGGGCCTTCTCACTACTAAATGGATACTTTGTGGTAAAGATCATGCAGTAGTTGATTTCGTAGAAGGTGGTCCAAAAACATGGCTTCATGAAGCAGAACCGGTTAATGAGTAATTTTATGTTGAACCACAAATTTATTATTTACATTTCTCTAAGTCAAAATGCTTTATTTTGTAGTAAACGTAAAATTCACATCCCGAAAGTACATATGAAAATTTTTAAAATATTAATAAACTTATGAAAAAATTACAAACGTAAAATTTTCAAAGTATTATAAAATACTAATATAAGAAAACGACTACAGTTGACTTACCTATAAATTCACTTAGTAAAGATGAAATTTTAAACAAAAAACTTTACATGATGAAGAAAAACTCATTTTTAATCAACCCATTGATCCTAGTCACAAGATCATGGTCACGGTGACCAAACCACGCGATTGAATTGCTTTAATTGCATTCACTAGATTTGGCATTCAGCGACTCACTAATTTTAAAATGATGCTCCAGAAGATGATCAGAAGAGGAATTCTAATTCTGTTGAAGGAGCCTAAATTAAAGAACATTATATCTTTTTAGGTAGGCCCTTATTTTCCAATAACTGAATTTTTTCATGGGGAACTTCTTACATATTAGTTTTAAAAACAACATAATTGGATTTATTATTGAAATAAAGTAAGAGCATTTTGCGTTTAAAAGTTCAGAAAATTGAGATGAATTTCGATTCTTTCAATATTTGTAGGTTATTTATTTATAATATTCATGTCAAATCATCTATTTCGAAAAGTACCAATACAAATAAATTTATTAAAAAATATTATTCTTGTTTGTGCGCTTCAGTAGTTAATTATTCATGACACCAAATTTTTATATTTACGTAGTGCTTTCAATTTCCGAAAAACCGGAATTCTTAGTATTCTTCCAACAAACTCATTTAAATTAATTAATTAATAGCTTAAACACTCAAGTTTAACTTATTTTGGTGTTGTGAACCTTGAATATTTAACAATAACCTCTTGAGTGTGATTTTCATGTTTCATGTATTGCTAACTGGGGGCTGTTATCTTTCTTACGCTTCGGACTCTTAATAGACCTAGGATGCTTTGTGCTTTGCAGTGCTCTTAAATCGTAATTGGCACATGTTATAAATGATATACTAATATGATTGGTCGATATTATGAGGCTGTAGTGGGTAAATCTTAGGTTTCAGGTTACTGACGTGACAAGCTGACTAACGATTTGAGTTTTTTCTTAGCACGCCTTCAAACGTGTTACCTAACAGTGGTTCCTGAAGGATTTTTTCGTCCGGAAGTGGGGAATTTTTATGGCGGTTGAAATACACCATTTTTCAAAGTTTTCATATATTGTAGTTTATTGTGTTTCATTTTTTCTTGAAAAAAAAAAGAAACAAAAACCCAAATAATATGTTTAGCAAATTACAGCGCTCATACAAAATTTTTACGAAACCCAAAACTGATCAAATCGGTAGTCATTATCAGCACTCATAATAATCTATGACTCAAGATCCTTTCCAGTATATGTTATGACTTATGAGTCTTCTGCTATGTGCGGTATTCTACTTTGAAAAGTCTACGCATATTTATGATACCGATTTATTAGCACTGGCACTCGTTCAACGAAAACACTTTAGTGTGCTTTCACACGCGAGTTATCTTTGCAGTTCTCTGGGGGCGTAACGCAAGAATTAATTCACCAGACTTAATCACAAAAACCGATGTGTTAAACAGATTAAATTCAGGCCCACCGAATTTAACTTGCATGACCCGTTGTTTTTAAATATAAAAATTCAGTCATAAGAAGATACTAAACAACTTTCATAGTTAGAGACTACAATAGTTTTCTTTAAAAATATTTGGTAGCAATTTTTCTATCTTCCTATATTCTTTCTTATGTTTTTTGTTATTTATTGACCAAAATGACGATTGAGATTTAAATGAAAATAAAAGGGGTTATTTGGGAAAAACACCTAATTATTATCCTTTCAGAATTATGTTACAATACGTAGTTCGGTAAGTATAACCTCTCATACTTATTTACTTTTATATTCAATACGTTCAGGTTATTTTCAGTTTCACTTTTTACATCCTGGATAACTGTACGTCTTTTGTTACATACTTATTTCAATTTGCTTAGAGCCCGGAAAGTAAAATTGTGCCATTTAAGCAGCCAATGTTCAATTTCCGTGAAATAGTGAAGGCAATTAATTAAACGGAATTATTGACTTTTTCATTGGGTCAATTTGTTTTTAATTGGAGAATTATAAATGAAATCAGTTTCTATACTAGTGCTTCAATAAAGCATTCTTCAAATTTTAGTTCAACAGTTTTTGATAAAAATTTGCTAAAATCGATTATTAAATATGATTATGATGTATATATATATGTAAATATTAAATCATTTTATTATTATAGTAAATATTATTATATTACCATTTAATCACTATAATGTTATATTATGTTGCTTCTTGATATTTAAGGTCCAATTCCTAAAGATTTGCATATGGTGTGTAATTTTCTTCGATGACTGCATACTTTTACTTGAGTAATATTTCAGCTACTCGCCGTTATTTATTTAATTAAATTATATTATTCCTAATATTAATATATTAAGAAAATTGAATTTTTGTGCAATATCAAATTTTAACAGTTTTGCACCTTGCAATGACTTTGTAAGACAGAGTGAATACCCTTGTATGTGGTTCTTACTAAAGGAATATAATTCTTTGTTGTGTAAAACGATATTAACAAAAATATATTGCATTATGATTTATTTGTGTTTTTGAATAAAGAAAAGTTTTTATTCAATTTTCTGTTATTGTTAATTCCAATTTTTTAATTTATCAATAGAATATACGTGAAAAATATCAAAATTAAATTTTTTACATAATTTTTTTGGAAGTTTCTGATATACAATACTAATCAATATTGGTCTTAAGAAATGGAATTAATAATTATATTCTTGGAATTACAAATATGTATAAAGAGAGAATGTAGAAAACGGGCAATTTTACATATATTTGTATATAAAAGACTGCAATTACATATATTTCACTTAACGTAATGTGTGAACTACAAATTTTACAAATTCGCAGGACATTATATATTTTTTTTTTTGAATCAATTTATTTTATTACAATCTGTCAGGTATGAATGACAATAAGTAATATATATTAACATGAATCGTAATTATAGTTATTACGATCTAAAAAAGAAAGGCACGTATGGACTATGTCCAGTTATATATCCATATATAATTAAAATAGAAGTGTGTGACTTACATATACATATGTAAAACGTCTCTCGATGTTTTTCTTTTTAGCCTTGAAAAAGTGTTTGAGGGGGACATCAGGTGTGTAACCAGCGGGTTTGGATGCATATATGTGCGTTGAGCGTAATTCTTTGTAATTCGAGATATTTCTTCCTTGATTGTCGGAACACGTAGTTGTTTATGCAGCTGTTCATTCGCTACATATCAAGATGCATTTGTGATCATTCGTAGTGTTTTAGATTGAAAACGCTGGAGAATTGCCAAGTTTGAGTCTACTGCATTACCCCATAATTGGGCTCCATAACTCTATATAGGTTTTAGTATAGTTTTGTATATAAGCAGTTTATTGTGTAGTGACAGTTTGAAATTTCGGCTGAAGAACGAAAATAAGATTCGCAATTTGAGACCCAAGGCTTTACGCTTATTAAATATGTGTGGTTTCCAGGTTAGTTTATTATTCAGATGTATGCCCAAGTATTTTGTATCTACAGCTTGTGGTAATTAAGTATTGTTTATTAAGACAGGCGGGCACGTAGAACCTTTTGTAGTAAATGTTACTTGGACAGATTTTAACTCATTTGGTTTGATACGCCAATATTTCATCCAGAGAGCAACATTGTTAAGGCAGGTTTGAAGTTTGTTGGAAGCACGGATTGGGTCACTCTCAACTGATAAAATAGGTGTATTGTCTGCAAATGTACCGATAACTCTCTCATCGGTAAGGGGAAGATGCTACCTTGAGGTACTTCTGCTCCTATATCATGAAGTTCTGTAGTTTCGTTTTCATACTTAATGAAAAAGTGCCTTGCCGAGAGGTATGATTCAATAAATATGAAAAAATTTAGGTGTAGATTCAGTTTTAGTTTGTAAAGAAGGCCCTCATGCCATACTCGATTAAAAGCTTGTGAAATATCTACAAATGCCGCAGTGCAATATTTCTTACCATCTATCGCACTATGGATACGTCTGTCAAGTCTATGAATTTGTTCTATTGTGCTATGTTTTTGGCGAAAGCCGAATTGATGGTGAGAGATGAGTATGTTTTGTTAAATAATCGGTGTAAGGCGCTTTAAAAACAGGATTTCCATAACTTTTGACAAGATCGGAAGTAGACTTATTGGCCGAAGATTTGACATATTCTAGGCTTTTCCCTGGTTTCGGTATTATGTAAATTTTCGCTATCTTCCACTGTGGCGGAATAAACCCCCTTATTATCACAGCGTTAAGTAGATGAGTGAGAAATACAAATTATTTTGGTGGTAGCTGCTGCAGGGCAATGCCTGTGATCACTTTTAACTTCTCTATTACATCTCTAACTTCATTAAAAGAATATCTTTTAATTGGAAGTTCTAACTGGTAAGGCTCTTATAGAAAATTTATTCTTTGTATCATGACATCTGGCATATTTTGATTATCATTTGGTTTGAAGACCTGATTCAAATGTAACGTGAATGTTTCCGCTTTTGCAATATTGCTTTTAGCACATAAGTTGTCTATTTTGCGTACAGGTTGTTGATAAGCAATCGGTCTGTTGTTCTTTTTTATGGCTTTCTAGAGGGAATTTTTTGTATTATATGAAGCACTTAGGTTTTTGAGGTATAGGGACGTGCGATTGCTAATGTTTTCTCATCCTCCGCTTTTCTTTGATTTGGTATCTAATGTTAAATGGATATTCTTGCTTTACACTATTTCAAAACGGAGGAGTTGATTCACAGGCAGACATTTGGACACATGAGCTGAAATGCTCTACTGCTTCAGTCACATCAAATTCAATTTTCAACTGGACTTCAGTATTTAGACCAATTGTAATTAGTTGACGATAACTGTTCCAATCTGTATTTTTGTTATGAAGAATACATTTTTCCATAATTTCACAAGAGTCATCGAGAGTGATTATTACTGGCGAGTGGTCAGAGGACAAGTCGAAATTGGACTTACAGGTAGTTGTCTCGATATA